GGGCGGGGGGGGCCGCTCCTCCCGGCGGGTGCGCGGCGGCGCCCCGCACAAAGGCGGCGGGTGGGAGCGCGGCGGCGGCTGCGGGCGCGATAGGGCGCGATACGGCGCGATAGGGCGCGATAGCCCGCGATACGGCGCGATAGGGCCGCTCTGGGATCGGGGCGCGGCGAGCGCGGGGCCGCCGGGCGGCGCGCGGACCCCCCCGGCGCCATGCGGGCCCCCCCCGGCGCCCTGCCCGTCCTGGCCGTGCTGCTGGCGGGGCTGAGCGCGGCGCCGAGCCGGGGGCAGCTGCACGGCGAGAAGGGCATCTCCGTGCCCGACCACGGCTTCTGCCAGCCCATCTCCATCCCGCTGTGCACCGACATCGCCTACAACCAGACCATCATGCCCAACCTGCTGGGCCACACCAACCAGGAGGACGCGGGGCTGGAGGTGCACCAGTTCTACCCGCTGGTCAAGGTGCAGTGCTCGCTGGAGCTCAAGTTCTTCCTGTGCTCCATGTACGCCCCGGTGTGCACCGTGCTGGAGCAGGCCATCCCGCCCTGCCGCTCCATCTGCGAGCGCGCCCGGCAGGGCTGCGAGGCGCTGATGAACAAATTCGGCTTCCAGTGGCCCGAGCGGCTGCGCTGCGAGAACTTCCCCCGGCACGGCGCCGAGCAGATCTGCGTCGGGCAGAACCACTCGGAGGACGGCGGCTCCTCGGCAGCGCTGCTCACCAGCGCCGCGCCGCCCGTCGCGCACGGCACCCCCGGAGCGCCGCGCTACGCCACGCCGGAGCGGCCGTTCCACTGCCCGCGGGCGCTGAAGGTGCCCGGGTACCTCAACTACAAATTCCTGGGCGAGAAGGACTGCGCGGCGCCCTGCGAGCCGGCCCGGCCCGACGGCCACATGTTCTTCAACGAGGATGAGATCCGCTTCGCCCGCGTCTGGATCCTGGTCTGGTCCGTGCTGTGCTGTGCCTCCACCTTCTTCACCGTCACCACCTACCTGGTGGACATGCAGCGGTTCCGCTACCCCGAGCGGCCCATCATCTTCCTGTCGGGCTGCTACACCATGGTGTCCGTGGCTTACATCGCCGGCTTCGTGCTGCAGGAGCGCGTGGTGTGCAACGAGCGCTTCCAGGAGGACGGCTACCGCACGGTGGTGCAGGGCACCAAGAAGGAGGGCTGCACCATCCTCTTCATGATGCTCTACTTCTTCAGCATGGCCAGCTCCATCTGGTGGGTCATCCTCTCCCTCACCTGGTTCCTGGCCGCCGGCATGAAGTGGGGCCACGAGGCCATCGAGGCCAACTCGCAGTACTTCCACCTGGCCGCCTGGGCCGTGCCGGCCGTCAAGACCATCACCATCCTGGCCATGGGGCAGATCGACGGCGACCTGCTGAGCGGCGTCTGCTTCGTGGGGCTCAACGGCATCGACCCGCTGCGGGGCTTCGTGCTGGCGCCGCTCTTCGTCTACCTCTTCATCGGCACCTCCTTCCTGCTGGCCGGCTTCGTCTCCCTCTTCCGCATCCGCACCATCATGAAGCACGGCGGCACCAAGACGGAGAAGCTGGAGCGCCTGATGGTGCGCATCGGGGTCTTCAGCGTGCTCTACACCGTGCCGGCCACCATCGTCATCGCCTGCTACTTCTATGAGCAGGCCTTCCGCCAGCACTGGGAGCGCAGCTGGATCAGCCAGCACTGCAAGAGCCTGGCCATCCCCTGCCCGCTGCACTTCACGCCCCGCATGACGCCGGACTTCACCGTCTACATGATCAAGTACCTCATGACCCTCATCGTGGGCATCACCTCGGGCTTCTGGATCTGGTCGGGCAAAACGCTGCACTCGTGGAGGAAGTTTTACACGCGGCTCACCAACAGCAGGCAGGGCGAGACCACGGTGTGAGCGGCAGGCGAAGGGCTGCCTCCCTCCCTGGCTCCCTCTTTCTCTCTCTCTCTTCCAGTTATTATTTTTTGTTTGTTTGTTTTTTGGGTTTTTTTTTTGTTTGTTTTGTTTTTTTTTGTAATTAAACCTGTAAATAGCACTTGTAAATTTAATTATATATTTCTATTTAAAGAAAAGAAAAAAAAAAAAAAGAGGGGGAAAAGAAGCCAAAGCCGAGTGCTGGGCTGTGCTGGGCTCCGGGCTGCCAGAGAGCCAGCAGGCAGGAACGGGGAGCAGAGCAGCCACGGAGCAGAAAGCGCCGTGCTGTCAGCGCTTTTCTGGCGGCCTGCCCAGGAGCCGGGCCGTGGTTGGGGCTCTCCTCGGGGCTCTCCTGCTGCGTCCTCCCCACCTCTGCAACTGCAAATACAGAGAGTGAAACAAGCGCTGCTGTTCTCCTCGCGGCTCTGTTTTATTTCCTGGGGTTGGGACGGCGCAGGGCCGCCTTTGGGGCCGTCGCTGTGCGGCCCCTCCGGCTGCAGACAAAGAGCTTTTGGAGAAGGGGGGAAAAAATACGGGAAAAGAAAAAAAAAAAAAAAAAAAAAAAAAACCTAAATTTCAGCGAACGCAGAGGATTCCCTGCGCGGGGCTCCTGACGGCGCGATGCAGCCGCGGCCCCGAGGAAATAGCTGGCATTTTCGGCAGGATTAGGGCTGCGGGAGCTGGGAGGCGCGTGGAGGAATCCCAGCGGGGCCGGCTCTGCGATTTGGGCTGGAAACGGGGAGTTTTGAGGCCGTCATCGCGGCATCGCTGTGCTGCGGGGCGGAAAAAAGTTGGTGGTGAGCGGAGCGGAGCCGGGCTGGGCTGGGAGCCGGGCAGCCCCAAAGCCCCGCGGGGTCTGCGTGGCGCAGCCGGAGCGGCGAGTTCCCGTTCCCTTCCCCAGAAGGGCCGGCAGCAGCCGCGGGTCCCCAAACCCTGCGTGTGCCACTGATGAAACGTGCCGGGTTTGGGGCAGGAAGGACCCGAAGGGGTTACGGCAGCGCCTCGCGCGTCTCCAGCGCGTTTTGGAAAGGAAAAACTCCTTGGCTCCGCCGCGCTGTTCCAGCGACGAGCCGGGGGGGGGCGCGGGGCCGCCGGGCCGGCCGGCGCTGTGCGGGGGGCCCCACCCTGAGGGGCCGAGGTTTGGTGCCCCGCTTCCTTCTGTGCCTTGGGGGGCGCAACACAATGGGTCGGGTGGGGTTTGGCCCCAACCCCCCCGGCCGTGCGGGAGACGTGGGGCCGGGGGCTGCGGGGGGATCCCGCGTTCGGGGCTGCGGGGCTGCGGGGCTCCGCTTGGGGCTGAAAGCATCGCCGGGCACGGGGGGAGGCCGCGGGCAGCGATGCGGGCTCTGGCCGCGCTGAGGGGCCCCGCACTCCTGCGGGGGGGGGGGGGGCCCGCGCGGGCCGGGGCCTCGCAGGGGTTCATCGGGGAGTTTTTCGGTGGGAAGGAGCTGGAGGCTTCGCCTCGTGCGTCCCCTCAGCGCCCACACGAGGGGCCGCCCGCGTCCGGCCGGCACCACGAGGACGGAGCGCCGCGAGCTCTGCCCTCAGCGCAGCAGGAGCGCGGAGCCCCGCGTCGGTGACGACGGGCGCCGACCCCGCCGCTGCCCGCAGGACCCCGGCGGTTCTCAGTGCGGCTGGGGCCGCGTGGCCGCGCTGCCCCCATCCCGTCCCGTTGGAGCAAAGCGCAGGGGCGGCAAACGCCGCTGCTCAGTGCAGCCTTTGATGTCCGCCGAGGAGCCCCGCGCTGTTTGCTCAGCTGCCCGGCGCAGCGGAGACCGATTACAGCCCTGCCCCGTCGCCGCGCACTGCGCGCGGTCGTCCCCGATGCCTCACCTGGGCTTTGGTCCCGCTGATGTGGGGCGGCCCCGACGTCCCGCACGGCCCGGTGGCGGCCGCTCAGCTTGGAGCGCTGCGGGATGGCGGCGTCCCCGCGTCCCTGGGTTCCTCCGTCTCCTGTCCCCATTCCCCACCCTGCAGGGTCGCCCATCCCGGAGGAGGTGAGGATGGGAGCGGGGGGAGCTGGTGCCCCGCATCTGGCCCACATCCGTGGCAAGAGATGGGGCAGCGTGACGGACACGGGGCTGGGGGCTCAGCGCATCCCTGTTTGTCCAGGGATGATGGGATGGACGGGCAGGGATGGAAAGCAATGGGGGGGTGTGGGACAGGCGGATGTGGGGTGATAGACGTGGGGTAGGTGGACAGGGGACAGATGGACGTGGGACAGATGGACGCAGCATGGACGGATATGGAAAGACTGATGTGGGATGGGTGGACACGGAGTGGGTTGACACAGGACAGGCAGACATAGGATGGAGGGGTACAGATAGATGGACATGGGACAGGTGGACACAGTGCATGGATACAGGCAGGTGGCACAGGATGGGTGGACATGGGATGGGTGGAATATAGGATGGGTGGATATGGGATGGGTGAATATGGATGGATGGATGGATATGGGATGGGTGGATAGATATGGGATGGGTGGATATGGGATGGGTGGATATGGGATGGATGGATGGACATGGGATGGGTGGATGGATATGGGATAGATGGATATGGGATGGGTGGATATGGGATGGATGGATGGATGGATGGATGGATGGATGGATGGATGGATGGATATGGGATGGGTGGATATGGGATGGGTGGATGTGGGATGGGTGGATGGATATGGAATGGATGGATGTGGGATGAGTGGACATGGATGAGTAGGCACTGGGTGAACACGGGATTCACGGACACCGGACAGATGGACACGGGATGGATGGACATAGGGTGGCTGGACACGGGATGGGTGCACGTGGGATGGCTGGTTCTGGAAGGACAGATGTGGGGTGATGGACACGGGATGGATGGGCACGGAAAGGTAGCGAGGGACAGATGGGGGGCGGCCCGGCCCCTCCCTCCTCGCAGCCATCAGTGCTGCAGTGCCCCCCCGGCACCCCCCGCCCGTCCCACCCCCACGTGCCCCACACCCCCTTCCCCACGGCCGCCATCCACGCTGGCTTTTCCGGCCCAGCTGTCCCGCGGGGGCCGGGCAGGAATTCGGCCGGGGCTGAGCAGCGCGCGGAGCTCCGGAGACAGAGCAGCCTCTGAATGCAGGGAATGTTTTTGCAGCTGGAGTCCATTAGCGAGGGCTCGGCGGCTTTATTAATCCCAGCCTTATTGCTCAAGAGGCGCGGGGGGAGCGCGGGGTGCGCGAGGGGGAGAGCGGCGCTGAGAGGGGGGCGGGGGCAGAAAGAGGGGTGAGCGTGCGGGGGGGGGGACGGATCCCTGCTGAGCGCTGCTCGGCGCGGGGCTTTTCTGCGCCCTGGAGGCGCGGCTCCCCCGGTATGGAGGTGTCGCAGGGATGCAGGTTTCCCCATGACTGAGGTCGCCTCGATGGAGGTTTCCTCTAGGACAGGATCCCCCCTGCTGGGCGCCGCCCCACACCAGAGGTTCCCCCATGATGGAAACGTCCTCCTGACGAAGGTTTCCCCCCTGATGGAGGCTCCTCCCCGCTGGAGGTCTCCCCACAATGCCGGTTTGTCCTACGCTGGAGCTCTCCTCCTTGGCGGAGCCTTCCCCCCTTGGGGAGCTTCCCCCATTATTGAGGTACCCCAGGATGGAGGCTTCTGCACAGCGGGGGCTTGCTGAGATGGAGCTTCCCCTATCAGTTTCCCCACCACCGTCGTTCTCCCTGTCACCGAGGTTTCCCTGCAGTGGACGTTGCCCCGCTGATGCAGGTTCCACTGAGGAGGTTCCCAATGATGGAAGGTTCCCACTGAAGGAGGTTCCCTCCGTGATGGAGGTTCCACTGATGGATGTTCCCACTCACAGAGGTTCCCAATGATGGAGGTTCCACTGATGGAAGTTTGTACTGCTGGAGGTTCTCACTCACGGAAGTTCCTCCAGTGATGGAGGTTCCCATTAATGAGTTTCCCATTAATGAGGTTCCCCCCTTGCTGCAGGTTCCCATTAATGAGGTTCCCATTAATGAGTTTCCCATTAATGAGGTTCCCCCCTTGCTGCAGGTTCGCTGCACATGCGGCAGGCAGTGGGGCAGAGCAGCAGGAGGAGCAGCTGTGGGGCTGTGGGTCAGGTTTGGGATCTGTGTGTGTGGGGCTGAGCCCCGCTGTGCTGCCGCCCGGCCTGGCGCTTCTCTTTCCTCTCCTTTTTATTTCCTCATTTCTCTTTTTTTTCTCTTTTTTTTCTCCTTTTTTTTTCTCCTTTTTTTCTCCTTTTTTTTCTCCTTTTTTTCTCCTTTTTTTCTCCTTTTTTTCTCCTTTTTTTCCTCCTTTTTTTCCTCCTTTTTTTCTCCTTTCCATTTTCTTCTCTTTTTTTCTTTCTACTTTTTCCTCTATTTTTCTTGTTTCTCTTTTCCCCTGGATTTTATTTTTCTTTTTCTCTTTTCCATTTTCTCTGCTTTTCTTTCCTATTTTCCTCAGTTTTTCTTTTTTCCCCCTTTTTTCCCTCTGTTTTTTCCTCCCTCTCCCCTTTCCCCCCTCCCCCCTCCGCCCCTTTCTCTCTCTCTCCCATTTCTCTCTTTATCCCTCCTTCCCATTTCTCCTCCCCTCCTCCATAGCGGTTTCTCCTCGCCCCAAACGCAATTTCTCACTCTTCGTGTCCCGCTCCCCCCCCCCCGCGCACCCGCGACCCCCCACGGCCGCAGCGGAGGAATGAAACGCCCCGGATCGGAGCCTCCGTGCCGCTCCATGGGGCTGCGTCACCCCCTGCCGCCCGCCCCACAAACGGTGGGGATCCGGGATCCCAAATCCCACTTCTGGGCCTCCACAAACCCCGGTTTCGTTTTTGGGGCTTTTCTGCAGCTGTGCCCATTCATTAAACCGGAGGTGATCTGAGCCCGAGGAGCGCTGCCCAAACAGAGCAGCGAACCGCCCTATAGCGTGTGGGGTGGGGGGCAGTGATGGGGAGTGGGGGGCAGTTATGGGTTGGGGGCAATTATGGGATGTGGGGGCAGTAATGGGGACAAGGGTTGCGGCGGGGCTGGGGGCGGCCCGGGGCTGCGGGGTGAGCGATGTGGGGCAGAGCCACAGCATGGGGGAGCGTGATGGGGGTTGGGGGATGGGATAGGTGTATGGGGATGTGGGGTGTGGGGTGGCGGTATGGGGTATGGTATGGGGATGTGGGGCATGAGATGCGTTAGGGGATATGGAGTGCTGGACATACAGGATGTTGGGAGTGTGGGGTGGGGGTGCGGGGTACAGGGTGTGAGATCAGTGTTATGGGATACGGGTTATAGGATATGGGGCATCAGATACGGAGTGTGGGATATGGGTGAGGGGTTTGTGTTAGGAGAGGAGTATGGCATGTAGGAGAGAGAATAGAGGATATGGGGTATGTGATGTATGGGGTGTGGGACAGTGGATGCAGAGTGTGGGGTGCGGGGTATGGGATACAGGATGTGGGGTGCAGG